AAAAATAATTTTATTTTAAATGACCCAAGAAGACATTGTTTATGGAACATAGGAAGAAGGCAGCTTCCGTTCCCTTTTTCATGCACTCTAATTTTATTTTAAAGTCTTTTATTAAAAATAGTTTCATTCAAGCCCTTGTATATAATTTTATTATTTTTTTGCAATATTTGTTTGTATATATTATTATTGTGTAATATTGAAATTTTCTTCCAAATAGAATCATTTGATCACTTTTGCTATGTTAAAAAATATAGCCCTTCTTTAAGATAAAAAAAGAAGTGTTTTTAGATAGTTAAAAAAATTTATAAAAAGATATTTATTTCTTGAAACTTTTATAAAAAATAAATATATTTTAAACTGGTTACAATAATAATAAAATTATGATATTATTTTACTTATTTTAGATTTATAATATTTTACCTGAATCTTTATTTATAAAAAAATAATTTATTGTTAGTTAATTTAAATTTTTTATAATTTATTTATATATATTTCTGTATTTTTATGATATTATCTATAGTCTAGCATCTAGCACATGGTATTATTTTCAAAATTTATTAAAGTAATTCTTAAAATAATTAAAAAATATGCTTTTTAATATCATAATGAAGAGAAATATTTAGATAGTAGATCGGTATACACGTCATTTGTAATATGTCTAACACATTGATAAGAATAATTATTCTTGTTATATGCATCCTAATTGTTAATTATTAATTTTTATTAATTAAATTACTTAGATTTTCGCCCTAGTTTAATTTAACTTTTATTATTTATTTATTCTCTTAAAAATTTATAATGAAGTTTCTACTCTCTCGGTTCAAAAGTGTAAGGACATTATTTAAAAGGTTAGATATTTTAAAATATAATACATTTTTAGCATTTTAACGTGTATTAATAATTGTTTTTTTAAAAGTGCTCATGATAAATAAATCACTTTATATTTATTTTAAAATAAAATATTATATTAAATTAAATAAAAATAAATATGAAAAGATGCTGCTACTTTGAAGACTATTAACTATTTTATCAGGGTTGAGATTTAGTTAAAAATGTTTTACATTTTGAATGAAGAGAGTATACTCTAGTAATTGTAATACTCATCTTCATGTCATTATTTTTGGGGGAGAACCACATCTAAGGATCAGGAAGAAAGACAATTATTCAAAGATATGAATCAATGCAAAATGAATTGTTATTAAAATGAAAATGTGACTTTTTTTTTCTGAATAGGACTTGTTATTGATTTTATCTATCTTTCCTAGGCCCTTATATGTGATCTCCTTTTTTTTTGGAAAATATAATTTTAGTCCCTATACTTTACCTAAGTTTGGGCATAGATTCTTGCACTTTTTTCGGTATTTCAAGTTCTTACACTTTGCTTTGTTTGCAACATTGATATATACATTTTTAGGAGACATTGACAGTTCTTTTTTTAATTTGAATTTGATGCTTTATTGGTAAAAAAAAAAAAAAACTAGCATTTGCTTGCTATTTTTATACATGCCAGACATGGCCAATTGGATTTTTAATACCACAATTATTCTGCTCTATTCAAACATTAAGGTTTTAATGATATCAAGCAAGTACTTGGCAATGCTTTTTTTGTGGTTTTAAAAAGTTTAGCACTAGAAGCTATAGCTAAAGATTTTGAAAGGCTCGGTATGCCAACAAAATGAAGGTTGGAATCTGTTGTGTTTATATAAACGAAAGTCTAATTTATTTCAAGTTTTAAATGTACTTCCACAACATTGGGAATAACAGTTGGTGTGCACTATCATGTATTGCTTAAGCTATAGCTATTTTTCTGTCTGTTTTTGTCTTGTTATCACTGTTGATTGTCAATTATGTGCAGGCCTAGTTCTTCTTGCTTTTAAAGAGTTACTTGAAGGTGTTGAGCATTGCTTTTGTGGTAAAAGCCATTTATATGCGATATCAAGACAAAATATGGAGGAGGAATCGGAATTGTGATTTAGTCCTTCGTGCTTTGAAAGACACATATAAGGTGAAATGGAAACAACAAATGGATGAGTTGAAAGCAATTTTGAAAAAAGCCTATGATCATTTGATAGGATTTTCTTCCTAATTGTTGTACCAAAGTTCTCATTTGAAGAATACTACAATTGGGATGTAATCACTTGCAATATTTTTAAAGTCATTCAACAGAAATTGTCAACGTGCTTATTAGATCAATTGTTAGCATGCAAATGGGAGGCAAGAGAACTTCCAATTGTCAACATGCTTGATTGGATTGAACATGCCTCATGACACGATTGTTGAAAATTGTAATTCCTCCTTATATTAATCTTGATTAACTCGAAATCTCAAATTAATTAAGAGATTGTATTAAGATAAAATAAACATAATGCCATGTTTATAAATAGTTGAAAAGTTAGGATCCAAAGTTTTCAAAACTAAAACCATTACCAATGATATTTAAAATAAAACAAATCAAAGTTTACAAATTATGTGGAAGCATGAGATCATTTCAAATATTAATGCATTAGCTAAGGAAGCAAAAATAAAAATAATTTTGCAAAAAAATTAGGGTGTGCGCCATGGCTTATTGAAAACATATGTCGCGGTGGTGTGTTTGCCTCTGTGTCATATGCCACAGCTTGTGTGCACATGTGCAGTGGCACACTGCACGATCCATGATAGTAACTCTACTGTCAATTTGACAGCTTTTGGAGAGTTAGCTTGTGATGTGTGTCCATTTCTTCGTTTGACGTCCAATTGATGCAAACAAGATGTTTGTGAAAAGATTTTTCAAGCTCTAACTAATGACTATGGTCTCATAATCAAATTATTACACAATTAAAATTTTGAACACTCGTTTTTAAAAATTATACTTTTCAATATTTTTCTCAAACTAAGTATCTAACTCATTCACCAAAAGCCATAGATATTAACATTACTAAGACTACATGCAATATACCAAACTCACTTATGCAACGTACCACATCATATCAAACACTTACAATTCACAATTCTATACTCAACCCCTTAATTCAAAACACAAAAAGGGGAGTTCAAGCACCCTTTCCATCAAATAATTCATAATCATGACACAATATGCCCTCCTAACTCTCACTTGCATTAATATTTTGGCCTTATCACAGATATCACATTTCATAAACTCCACTCCCTAAGGCCCAAAAACTTACTCCACAAGACACATAATGCAAGTTAAAATAAAAAATAGACTATTTCTAGTTGGCAAGTTTCAATTGTCACATACATAAAGGCTAAAAAATAAAGAGGCCTACTAAATAGGATCGCAGTCCTAAGCCTCTAGTTACCTTCTTATATTCGATCTTCTTGAGTTATTTCCTTATAATATTGAAAAATAATTGAGTGAGTACAATCACTTAGTAACCAAGGTCTAACTAACTCATACTATGTGTATATTAATTAATTTAAATGTAAGTGGCAAATACAATGAAATGGCATATACTCAAAGGGATTAAGACTCAATTCATCATTTTTAGTATTAGGTCACAAATACAGACCAAATCATGTGTCTTTTTTCACTATATGCATGATCACATCTTCTTTATATCCTCCTTATTCCTCTAACAAAAAATCATGGCTTTTCATATACTAGGATAGCCTATAATCTGGGACTTCCCTAGTGTAAACATTTGTGAAAGGATTACTTGGCCAAGGTTTACCCAACTTACTTGTGCAACATAATTTCTCTCATTTTTTCACACATGGAGGTGTCATACTCCTTTAAACTAGCTTTTTTCTTATGAATCAGTGAATAGCTAAGCTAGCTAGTGTGAGTCTCTCGTTAAACTAGTGAGAACAGTCCCTTGTTGAAACAAGTAAGAACAATACGAATGTAATCAATCCAGGCAAGCCATCAATTCGAATAAAAGCCTTACCATATGGATTTAATTTTTACTCCTCTACCTAGGTGAACTCCCACCTCTCAAGATCATGCGATACATATTCATGCAATAATTCAACATTTAAAACACATTATGAAATTCCATAACACATATGTCATTAAACTCCTTAAGTACATAGTCATTGTACTCTATCATAATTCACATCATTGAATTCTAAATAAACCAAGTCATTGAACTCTATATTTTCACAATCATTATATCTCACTTATTCACAGTCATTAAACTCTACTATTTTATATATTATTGAACTCTTTATAAACACATATACTTTAAAACTTTCATTACAAGAAATCATTATACTTCACTAATCACAAAATCATTGAATCCCAATAAATCACAATACAAAAATCCACCAATATTATTTTCAAAGAATTTCACATAACAAGTCATAAGACTCACAAAAATCAACCTAGTGGATTCTT